GGCTGCCGCTGGGTTTGGACTTGGTTTTTTTTTTTTTTTTAAGGTTTTTTTTTTTTTTTTTTTACCTATCATGTGCCAACACGTGTCAAGTAACTTGTTATAATAAGTTACATGATCGGTTGGGACCATTTAAAGCAAATTCATATTAAAGTTCAGATTATTAAAAAATAATCAAAAGTTGAGATTATTTTGGGCGAATGAGGCAAAGTTTGGATTTTTTTAACAATTTTTCCATAGAAAAATACACTTAAAATTACCTTTGTTCTTTGCACTTTAACTAGCTTTAAAAAATTTATGAATGCCAAAGCTAAAAGAGTGAACAAATTGCAAAATATATTTGTATATATAAATTAAATAAACCTTAAAAATCATGATGCTAATCAAGTTACTCATCGTAACATCTTACCTTGATGAGCAAGTGAAGGGCGATAACTAAAGAGGGATAGCGAGAGGAATTTAGCCTATTTAAGTCACGTTAAAAAAATAACATCAATAAAGATATACTTTTATAATTTTATTAGTTAATGATAAAATGAAGATAATTTATTTTTGGAAAATATTTTGTCCCAACAAATTACATAATCCATAACAATAATTATTACAAATAATTCAAAATAACCCAGAAACAATAATGCCAAAATTTAGGAAATAATTGAACTTGAGCTACAAGAAATACCAAAATCTAATTCAATCCTTAAAATCCAAGGAATTACACCGACTAAAAAACCTTATATAAACCCCCTCACCTTCATTACTTTTGTCCACAATTTAATTTCCACTGCTTAATTAATTTCTCTTCTTACACTCTCCTATTATTAATCCATAAACCAACGTTCGTAACAACAACAATGTCTACCTCTACACCATCAATAGAGTCTTCCTCTCCTAAATCAACTCCGGCCGACACGAATTGTTACCGTCCTAACCAAGAGAGTCGAAGTACGCATGCGTACCCTGACTACGATTGGATTCCTGTACTCGACCTACCACCTTCAAACCAAACTCAAGAAAACTCTAACGTCAACCAAACTCAATATAGTTACGGTCAACCAATATATCAAGGGGTTCCTGTTCCTCATCATCAATATTACTCGAGTTATGTCTACCAAGTTCAACCGTCGCCTACTGCTGTTTTAGCTTCACAACTCTACGTCCTACAACCCACTCCTGCTATGATGTTTATTCCTCGAGTTGAGTGCTCGTACTGCTGCTGCTGTGACGCGTCAAGGATGGTATCCAGGACTTGAGATTAAAGACTTGTCCTCGATTTAATTGTTTGGATTATGTGCGTTAGATGATATTTTATTGTTACAGTTTATTTTCTTTTACTATAATGGTAGTAATTAGTTACGTATGTAGTAGTACTATTATAAGTAATTCAAGATTGATTTGATCTTGATGTTTAATTTTATGTTCATTTGATTATGTTTCATATATATATACATATGATTTTCTTTTTTCTTTTTTTTTGGAACAAATTCAAGTGGAGTCCTTAGTATTTTGGGTATATAATGTTAAACATGCATATTCAAACTTGAAATTTACAAGTATAATTTGATCATCTTGAAATATTATTTGTGCTAGTGATTATAATTTTAATAAGTAATTAATGCATCATTCCATCGATAATTTATCTCATCAATTGAATAGTTCCATCGATAATTTATCTCATCATTCTTTTTTTTTTTTTTTTAAATTTGAAAAGTTTTGAACATTAGTATGTAAATTATAATATAGATATAAATTCCATCGATTTTTTTTTTTTCAAAAAACTTTTTTAGTTTGATAGGGAAGAGCAATTCCATTAATAAGTAGTCATAAGACATCCACAATAATAATATAGATTTGTAAACTACACATTTAGATCAAAGAACATAACTTTCTTTTTTTTGGCAAAGCTCATAATTCACCGCTTCAAATTTGACTCAAAAAGTAATTTTTGATGTTTTATAGAGTTGATGACAAGACCTAAACCCATGTATTAAATCCCTAAAAATAAAAATCTCAGATGGTGATAACAAAGCAGAAAAACAAATTAAAATGAACTAATTAAAAAAAAAAAAGAGTCGGATATTAGTCTTATTTATGAAGAAATTAGACTTTTTCGGCTTAATTTAAATAACCTAGAAAACTAAAATTCTAGAAGAGAAGAGAGAAAGGAAGGTCGGTTGATTGGAAGACTATTCAATGGCTACAACAAAATTGTAGCTATTGTAATTATTTTTTATCTTGGCCCTATATTTTTAATGTTCAATCTTGTCCATTCATCCAATTGACTTTAATTTTTAATAAGAAATGAAAAAAAATGAAAAAAAAAAAAACAGTTTTCTTGATTACGAGTAAAAAAAAAAAAACCTGTTTCAGTTTCTAAAGCAAAAATTCTGAACTTTGCCCTTGATGCATATTTCTGCAATATCTAAGTTTAAATGATTCTCCCATCTCCATCAAAAATCAACATTTGATTATAGTTTATTAACAATAAACCTATTTACCGCATTATTTACAAGGCCCATAATTTTGCATCAAATTTATCAAAAAATGAATCATAACCAGGAAAGGAGGAAAAAAGAAGAAGATGATAAAAAAAAAATTGCGAAATTTGTCTCTTATTTTCAAGAAACCAATTAATTGACATTAAAGATGAAAAAATATTAGAAATTTCATCCTTCGACCAAATTTTCTGGTATTAAAAAAGTTGATTTTTCTTAAATCACATTTAATTGGTAGGTTTTTTTTTAATAACCGTATTTTAAAGTCAATTATATGGATGGATATGATGAATTTTATAAATCGGAGGGTTGTGATTCACTCAATTACAATGGCCACATTTGTATTGTAGCCTTTTGAAAACTGTACCTGTTGATTATGTAGTATTTGTATTGATTTCCTATTATAAAAATTATTAATGTTAGATTATTGTGTTTGCATGTATCGATCTGATTAAACATAACCATTAGGTCCATTACGAATTACTAGTACTAGCTACCTCGTCATGTTTTAGGGGTTCCAATTTTAGGCCAATGTTGAAGAGAACTGCCCCTGTAATTGCACTTATATGTCAAACGCAAAATTGTTGTATGATGACTTACTCAAGAAAATAATTTGTTACGGAGTACAAAAATTTAAATTATTGCGTATGACCGTATGTATAATATCAATGGCAAAAAAAGAATGGAAAAAAGATAAACTTAAACTCTATTCCTCGCCTCCTCTTCTCCCTTAATCTCTCGATCTTCTTTTATTTCTTCTAGTTAGGGTTTCAGTTACTTTTGGCCACTTAGTCAGAAATAGTCTAATTTAATTTCTTTGAAAATTAAATTATTTCCAACCCTAAATCTTTACTTTGATTGAGTCTTTTCATCAACTCTATGTATAATAAAAACATCAGCGTCATTAAATTGGAAGCTGTGCGGAAAATGTTGAAAAGTTATGATTTTGATTGCAAAATTTATGCATTTTCCTCTAAATATGTGGTTTAGAAATCTACTATATTAATAAAATCATTCTTCATGTCAAAAAAAGTAAACTCTATTAATCCTATAATTGTTAACAATTGTAACATGCCTAGAGAAAATTACCAACGCTATTACACTAAATGATCATATCATCAGTTGATCACAGTGATTTATTTTTTCTTCTTGAACTCTTAAGTATGACTACTATTATAATATTATAGCACTATATTGTAAAAATAAAATAAACCTATTGCATGCTAATTTCATACTAACATCATTTCTTAAGCACTAGGAGAGGGTGCAGCACCACCGGAGCATGCTTGGTTGTAGATAATCTTGACTTAATTAAGAACTCGGGTTGTTTTCAAAAATATGGAGCAACATTATATTCAGCACTCAGGGAACCTAGTTAATGACACGCCGGAGGCAACGGCCTGGCGAACAATTCCAATATGTAGGCAATGGTGTTAAATCAGGCAACGGTGGCTTCACGACGTGGCGGCGAGGTGGCTTAAGGTAACGCTGAGGGTAGAGTTGACGGTGAGGGGTTGGGATTAAGAACCTTTCCTCTTCCACTTCTAGAGCAAAGGTTCTTCCTAAAAAAAGAGCTATTAAACCAATGAATATAAAGGTTCTCCCTTTCATGTTTTTCTAGGGTTTTTGGTTTGTTTTCTTAGGGTTTAAAGGGGTTTATATAGATTTTAAGGAGAAGCTGTATTGTGAATAAATGAACAGACAAAAAAATAAATTTTAGAATTGGTTGTTTGTATTCCATCTTTAACTTAGATTTTTTTTATGCATTCATACCTAAATAATAGCTGGATTCCAGAATTAATCCCATCTCTTAAAAATATTAATAAGATATTTTGGTTTAGAGAATAGTATAGAAATTCTAGAATAATCTTAATTATAAAATATAAAAAATAAATTCAGCTAGAATCTTCTTGTGAATTATACAATTTTTGAAACAAATAAAAAAATGATTATTTGTTTCAAAAAAAAAAGGATTAATACTGTTTTTTAATCCCAACTTTTACCAATTTAGTTTCATTAGTCCCAACTTTGAATTATTCCTCAATAATCCCAACTTTAAGGTGGTCTATCATTCTTTAATCCCAAAAACCGGTTACCGGTTGAATGGGTTAATTTTTTATTTATTTTTTTTAGTTAAAGTAATACGTGTCACAAATTAATTGGTTAAAAAATATAAAAAAATTAATCAAAATAAAAAAAGTAAAAAAATCCACCCAGCCAAAGCCCCAACCGCCTAGCCAATCCAACAACCCGCCCATCCCAGCCACCTCTCTCGTTGGACCGTCGTCCCTCCCCCACCACTAGAGTGACGTCAATTCATGTTGATGCGACAGTGACACATGACGTCACCATGTTATCCCTTTGCGTTTTAATAATAATATTATAGATGTGTGATAATCACGTTGGTTCTCTTGCGACAAAGCATTAACGTATATCACCTAAGCATAGTGTCGGTGCATAATTGCACAAGATTTGAAATCTAAATGGATTAGCCCCAACACCAACCAAGTACTACTAACTACTCCCATCTCATCATCAAGAAAAAAGAGTTATAGGAATATTACTATATTAGCCATTGAAGTCAATTATTGGCTTGGTAATTTTCTTAGCATTATAAATAAGTGTAAAGATTGATAGATCGAGGACACAAATTCTATAAGCTCAAATTTATTTTAGCTATGGAGAGAATTGCCATCTTTGCCATCATTTTGCTCGTGTCTTTGGTAGGTTCAATTCATCAATGATCTCTTAATTCATACTTCATATATTTTATTGATATTATTATGCATGGATGCTTGATTATTAGTTGTTTACATACACGGGGATGAAGGCCTTAAGGGTAGGTGTAGTAGAATGGTACCCATGCATGACGTGATATTGTTTAAATTATCTATTGTTTATGACATATTTTAATCGATCAAAAGTTGAAAACTTCAATCTAATATGATTGTCATGTACTTTCATATTTCTTATATTTTCTGTCGTAATTAGCTTTTAGCTTGTTGTCGCAAAACCTATAATTTATGTGTACACTCATTGAACCACATATGATGGTGCATGCAGTGCCAACATGGGCAAGCAGGAAAGGAAACACCGTTGACGACACAACCAAAAGGGAGATATTAGATGAGGCGAAGAAGGTGTTAGAGAGAGAGGAGTTAAAGGTTTTACAAGAGGTTGCAAGAGAAGTAGCAACGGCAGAGCAACAACCATTGAAGAACCTCAAAGCCTGCGCAAATCCGGGGGAAAACTGTGCATTTATTGACTGTTGTGAAATTAGTGGACATAATATCGACTGTCTAGGCAATCGTTGTTATGACTGGAATGATCGCCCCTATCCTCCGATCGATATATACTTATCTAATAATTAAAGCTTATTACAAAGCTTTGATTTCTTGTGCTTACCATAATATCACGTAGCTTACATAGTTACATGTATGGCTCTATGAAGCTACGTGTATTAATGAATAAAACTATAAAAGTGGACGTTGTATCTTATGCATGTGTTTTATATGAATTAATATTAAAGTTGTTGGTTGCCTAAGTACAAGTAATAGTTCTAATCTATGTTACTCTATGTTTTACTACGTTGTTATTGTTATTCTTGATTTCGACATACAAATTAATAATATGAAGGGCCGAAGGGGAAGTAAGATTTTATAGCTAAATATGTCAAATGAATTGAAAGAATAAAAGAATAGGGAGAGAAAGAGAGTTCACCCACATCATGTAAGCGTTTGAAGCTCAATCAAACACAATAAGTAAATGACATTAGTTGATACTTATTAATCAATGTTTTATATTTTGTACTCTAGTAATCATTTACATTACTTTGATAATTATAAAGTTATCCCATTAATTTGTCAATCAATCAAAATCATTGGCATTAATTTGCCAAAAACGACACAATTAGAGATCAAAATTTCAATGTCAACATAAAATTTTATTATAAAATGCAAAATTAAATATACTGTCATAATTATGTCAATATCTATCGAAGCACAATCAATATATTGGACAATAATTATGATCTGATTTGTAAACTATAAGTTTGCACTCTCAAAATCATGATTCTACAATATAAAACCACGTCATGGTCGATTCAAATTTTATGTATGTAGTAGGATTTTAATGTTTGTAGGATCCTATTTGGATTTAAAAATAAAAAATAAAAAATAAATAAAAAGGAAAAATTGATGCTAATAATTTTTTGGCCGATTCGTTGTTAATAATCCATCCTTTTGATTATTACTCCCTCCGTTTTTAAATACTTGCTCCATTTCTCCATACATGGAGTTTTAGGAGAAATTGGAGAAAGTAATAAAATATAGGATTAGTGGGGTTAGTGGAAGGTAAATTGGAGGAAAGAGAAACTAAAAGTAATAAAATATAGTACTATTGGGTCTAGTATTAAAGAGAAATGAATTAAATATTGTAAAAACTTTACAAATAAGCAAATAGGCCAAGTATTTAAAAAGGCCGGAAATGGAAAGTGGAGCAAATATTTAAAAACGGAGGCAATATCTAATATACCCACATTCCCACCTTTATAGGCAATTTTCTTCTATTGGTCCCTTATTTGTTGGTAACTGGTTTTGATAGGTGAATATGCTACGTGTCACTTTATGATTGGTTGATAATTTTAAAAAAAAATTATCATTTTTCTCGAATTTGGGTTTGTGAGACAAATCGGAGAAGAAACCATAAATTTTAATTTGTTTTGAAAACCTTTTTGATCCATAAAACGAAGATGGAATTATAAATCCTGCTTGTGTATAAGGCATTAACCTAACTTTTACTTGGACATTACCTGTAACACACAATTTTATTATTTTGAACATTGCCAATTATTAGAAAGTACGGACAAAGATTTATACAATCTTATTATATAATTATTTTTAAAAAAAATTATGAACACCATATCTTTTAGTCTAAAAAAGGTTATTTAAATTTTAAGGAACCTATGTTAGTAATAATTGAAAAAACCTTTACTTTGCTAGAACCTTTAAAAAAAAGGTAAGGAAAAGTTGTGACATTGATCTGTTTGCAGAATTTGGCCCTGAATTCATATACCTTGGATCCGAGAATGAATAATAAACTTGAATTGAGTTTAATAAATACTTTAATATTTCTATTTTTTTCGTGCAAATAATTAAATTGTAAAATTTTTTTGGGTTGAGATAGAAACAAGCGCACAATATATACTAACAACAAATTATTGCGTAGATTTACTATAATACAAATAGTCAAAAATAAATACGTAGTATAAAAAAACGCAAAGGCAGTATAATTAATAATACGTCTAACTAAAACAAACTTTCACATAGTATATAAACTTAATTAATGATATCATAACTATATTAACAAACTACTAATTTCCCTTAGGAGAACTATCAGCACTTACTTATATATGTGACTACCACATTTATTTTATTCTAAAGTTCCTAATGACTATTATTGTGTTAAAAAAACTACACAAATTTGATTTCACCCCCACTTAACGGATTCTTGGATGGAATCCGTTAGTGGGCCCATAGTTTGACACGTGTCAATAGCTTATAGGTTTAAAAATTTGAATTAATAAAAAGAAAAAAAATTAAAAAAAAATAAAAAAGAAAATCCCTTAACCCAGCTAACCACCACCGGCGCTACCTTGCCTCAGCCGCTGACACCGTAACCCAGGGCCGCCGGCATCCATCTCCCCCACCAAAACCGGCGAAACCACCCCACGCCGCCGAATTTTGCCTTCCCCCTCCCCGAAAACCACCCACGTCGCCGAAATCCTCTCCCACACCAACCCAAAAATCGCCCACGTCGCCGAAATCCTCTCCCACGCAACCCAAAAACCACCCACGTCGCCGAAATCCTCTCCCACACCATCATCGTCGCCGAAATCCTCTCCCCTACCCAGAGCCGTCGTCGAAACCCTAACCCACACCAACCCAAAAACCGCCCTCACCTAAACCCTAACCCGTTTCTAGAAACCGAATTAAATCGGGGCTGAGCTGGATACGGCGTTTAAGGGTTAGGGTGGTGCGTCGTTCAGGTGGTCAATCAAGGGTGGTGGGCTGGGGGAACCAGCAGCGGTGATGGGCAAGGAAAACCGACGCCGGTGGTGAGTACGGTGGCTGGGTTAGGATTTTAGGGTTTTTCAATTTTTTAAACAAGATAAAATTTTGTTAAGAAAGAGGGTTCTTATGAACTGCGTGTAGTTTTAAGGGTATATTTCTATTTGCATTTTATTATTATTATTATTATTATTATTATTATTATTATTAATAATTTAATTTTTTACTCTCTTGCCTTACTTTTGGTTTAAGAAATTCACAAAATAAGTTGAGGCTTATAAAAAGACATAGTAATCTTTCAACTGACTAGTAAACTATATACTTCCTCTATTCCACAAATATTACAATAAGGATGAAATTACGCATCGCAGAACACATTTTATATGTTAAATATCTATAATTATATAAGAGTTAAAATTATAAAAAGTTGATATTGTGGAAGCTTTTTACAAGACGAATCTAACAATAATTTGTTATGATACTATTCAGTCGAAGATTATCATCGAAGTTATTCTCATCTTTGATTATGATTATGAACCCATAATGTGTTATCGTACAAACGGTCGACGATTGGTGGGTAAAGAAAAAAACCCATATTACCTAATTATGTTTTAACCCTTTTTGCTCTTCATGTAGAGCATTTCTCTCTTATACTTGTATCAGTATATTTGTCTCTAATAGAGACATGCCTAAGAGCCAACTGATGAATAAGTTTAATGATGTTCGTGAAAAGATATGGAACATAGCTACGAGGAGCACGGAACTAACCGATGATGGTGAAGATTGTGATGCAGAATTAGTTCATGAGATGACTTATAGTGGTGGCAAAAAAATATATGGTTTTACTTCGGAATCATGGGATTGTTCGTTTTGCTCCTGATCGAGTTTGCCATGAAGAGGAGTTCGACAAGTGGATTGCAAACGGAAACGATGGCGATGTTGTGGAGGAGGAGATACCATTCATCGACGGGTTGATATTGAGGATGATAGTAATGGTCAGTTCTAGGAAAGGGATTGTGGTATATGTCTACAAAGTTTAAAAATCATGGAGGACAAAGATGACGTGTTAGAAAGGGTTGAAATTGAGGATGATAATGGTGAGAGCTTGAAAAGTGAGTATGGTACATGTCTAGAGAATTTAAGAATCATGGAGATCAAGGAAGATGACGAAGAAAATTCAAAGGTCGATAATGATGTTGCTAGTGCTACTACTAATGTTGGTACTATAACAAAGTCTATTGTGAAGTTGCCTTGCGGACATGTGTTTCACGAGACTTGTGTACTTAGATGGCTCCATACAAATTATGTTTGTCCATTTTGCTGGCTTGAGTTGCCTCAACATGACGATAGTGATGATTTTGATAACGTTAGTGATGATGATTCTAATGACGTTAGTGATGATAATTCTGATGAATGATACTAGTATGAATTTATTTATTTTTTTTAAGAATACTAGTATGATTTAGAGTGTTGATTTATTTACAAAATATGTGGTACTTGTATGATTTGGGTATTTTTTATTATTTAAAAAACAATTCATAAGTTGATCAGCTCAATTTTTCAAGTGTTTGTTGTTTAAATAAAAATTAATTATTACGAAGTATATTATAATCGTAATAATGATTTTCATACATGATGGAGTGTAGAAGTGCATAGCACATCAATGGAGTAGAGTCCAATCGACCACTAGCAGCACTTATAGATCAAGATGAAACTATTCAAGGAAGGTAAACAAGGTTATTTTACAAGCAATCCCAAAATATTGGAAAACCTTCTGAGAATATCTCAGATAACTCTGAAAATATCACAAAACGCCTAGATTATCCAAGATACATAATCCAAGCTGTGAAAATTAGATTCACATCAATTTATTATTGTGAAGGAACCCATCCATAAATGATTTTTACATCACAATAGTTGGTCCGGCGGAAAATTCCTTCCTATCATTCCTAGTCATATGAATCGGTAATATCTACTTTGAATAATCTATCTTAGGGTTAGCAAACTACAAAAATTATAGAGGATATCTCATGGTTTTATGTACAAGCCCACCTGAAGAAAGAGGTGCAGATATATACTGTTATGTTGGTACAAGCGCTAATATCTGGGTCTTAATTCTTCCCATGCACATTTGTATCTCCCTGTAAATTGAGAGGTTTTGCGGGCAGCATGGATGCAAACCCGTCACAGCATCGTCTAATATCTGTGCGACCTCTGCAGGTGGATATTGTCGCTCAGTGCAAGTCTGCTAGTCAGTTAAAAGAAGTGGTCAGTGACGTACCAGGAAATAACGTATCAGACATTTAACTTCATGCAGAGATAATGAACAGCAAAAATTGGCCAGAGGAAGAAGATACATTTAAACCTCACAATTTATGTCTAGGTAACAAAATATAAATCAAGATAGTGATCCTTTCAAGGATTGAAATTGATGACCCCCCCCCCCCCAATGGTAACAATCAGCAACACTGATACT